GCATTATAGCAGAAATTAATAGCAACCTTCCCTCAGACAGTCTTTCCCTGGCATAAGAGATCCTTTAACCACTGCAAATGGCAGTAGAGAGGAGTGAAGTTCTGCACAAACTTCCTATGGAATCCAGGAGGACAGGGCAGCCCAGGCAGCCCATAGACAGAAAAAGTACATTATTTTGTGCAGTGCCAAATCAAAATGTGTGAAAAAGCTAGATGCTGCTTTAAAATATATCCCCCTGGCTGGCTTCTGAATCTTGGCATGGCTTGTCAAAAATGCATCATCTGGGCATCTATCGTCTACATTTTTCTATGTGTTTTTCATATGTCTGTGTTTTGTGTAAAGTGTTGATGATTCTCAGCTTTGGGAAAAGAATTTCTCCTTGAAATTATGCCTAGCAGCTTTCGAGAGCTGAATGATCTGTAGTCTGTGTCTTGGAAGTCATACAAGCATTTAGTTAGTAGTAGTTATACTTGCAACAAATTTCTGGTTTAACTGAAGCAATAAATATAGATGCTAGGAGAATATAGTCTTTGTTTTGTAAATAAAAGAAGAAAACCTTCTACCAGCTATTTTTGTATGCTTGCTTGTTGTTTTTTCTAGGGTTGTTTGTTTGGTGGTTTTTTTTTTTTAATATTAAATTTCATAAGCCAAAACAGTCAGTTGCTTTTATGTATAAGAGATTCAATGAGTAAGCCTGAACTCTTTAAAAGGTACAAATCACCATTTCCATGCACCTTTAATTGATCTGAATTGTTCATTTATTTACCAGATTCACCTGAATTATTTGGGAAACTATATTCCTAAAGCTTGGACACGGGAAACTGGTTGCAGTATTTGTGATTTAGATTTACTAGACCTCTCAACAGTAACGGTAAGAATACTTTTCTCTGCAACAAAACCCTTTTGACTGCAGTTGATAGGTGTGTAGTGATTTCTGAGGCAAAGTGGCTTCAGTATGCAGTATTATGTTTTGAAGACTCATCAGGATATTTTTACTGGTATATGAAATTATAAAGATGGAATTTTAATGTACTGGAAATACCAGTACTTTTAGAAATTACTTTCTGCATGCATTTTGATACGGGTTTCGCCAGTATAACTGAAGATGGTCCCATCGCCAAAAGACTTCAGATCCTTACCTCTCTTCACTGGGGGTAAATGAGTAATTTTTTAATCATGCAAGATTTAAATAATTAGAATTTTTTGGGAGATAGGAAAAGTTTTTGGATAGTCCAGATTTTTAACTGTAGATCTACAAAAAACTTCATATGCGTCAGTTTAACAATTTCTGTTACAAACAGAAGTTAACTGTGGCATGGCTAAAGTTACTATTTTCTAAAAGATCTACTTTTCTTCATAAGGAATGATATAGACATCTGTATTATATATACAAATGTGTTTCTGTAGAATAAATCTGATGCAATTGAGATCGGATAGTTCAGCCTTAGGACAAACATAGACATACACATGGTATGTGTATATTTGGGAACTTACTTTGGTTCTTCAGCTATAAGCAGGATGCCTTTAGTGTCTTTATGAGTATTTCAGCTTGTACTCAGTAAATATTAGGCAGAGTAAATAACCATGTATAAATGTAAGGCTTGTACTTAAAAGAATACTCTGATTATTCTTAGTAGGCTGTTTCTAGCAGCTGTTTTGTTCGTGTTCTGTATTGAAGATTCGAATGAGAACGGGTCCTAAAAGGTAGAGTTGAGGATAGCATGAAATAAGTAGTAGCTTATCTTTGTAATGGAAGGACAAAGTGAAAGAATTTCTGGACAACAAGTAGGTTATGGACCAGAACATAAATTTAAAAAGTTACTGCTTTTTTAAACTTTCAGATTATTGTTTTTAATTTTGCTTGAAGATACAATAGTCATATGGTGTTGTACTGAAATAATATTTGTACTTCCAGCATGAAGTTTACCTCAGGAAAACAATCTAAGTTTTTCCTAATGGTGTTGGTAATTAAAACATGATTGGGGAGCAGTTAAATACTAAAGCTGGTACTGGGGAGTAACTTGCAAAGATTTACTGGGTATCTTCCTACAGTTTATGTACATCTACTTGGAATGCATGTTCCTTACTATAATTCATTCCTTGGACTTCATGCCTCACTCCCTCTGCCATCAGAAATAACGAGACTTTTCCTTGGCATCAGTGGAAGTGTTTACTTCAGGCATTTTTAAGTAGAAGCAGTATTTAATTTTCTGAACGTGGTTTCTGTTCAGGCCTGCATAGTTCTTGCTTAACAAGAAATCTTAGTGAAAAGAGCAATACTAACTCTGTGTTTCTAATAATTATTCCCATACTGTTTTATTTAACTTTCTGCACCGATACACCCATATCTGCATTGATACACCTTATTTGCCGCGGTGAGTATCTCCAGGGAGGAGCCTCCCGCCCCGCAGCGAGGGCACACTCCGCGTCGGGGAGCCTCAGCTCCGAGCGC